AAGTCATTTTTAAACATATGATAAATAAAACACTGTCATATACTGCTCTAAACAAATGTTCATGCATGACCGGATGTGTCTATCAAAAAGAGAACATGAAGATGTAATTCTTTACGATAATATTATCTGAGTTTAAAACGATAGTCAGTTACGATTGTAAGACTGATATTAATAGTAAAAACAACAATCGTTTATTGATGTGTCTTTTAATATTTTTTATATAATTATTACAACTCAATATAAAAGAATTACGCTAGACTTTCAACCGGTTATGATTGGCACATGAGCCTGTTACAATGACACATGGGGACTTATCTCCCAATTTCAAATTGGGGGAATATAGACAACTCCTGGCAGAAGAAGATAAATATTTGACGGTTAAAAGTATTGTATTACTGGCCCATTAGTAGGGTACTTTTCACATCGTGCCCCAATTCTTCAATTTTATGTTTAGGAATACTTCTGTTATTTGACTGATGCTTATATTTTTAGAGTTCATTTGGTATGATGATTCAAACCAATATGATTCTAATCATGATTCTGGAACTAAGATTATGATTCATAATTTTGGGTTCAAATCATGATTCTGAAATCTTGATTCAGAATCAAGGGTTTGAATCATCTTGAATCAAGAGAGATTTGACCTAGTTTAAAACATCACATCAAATTCTGAATCATGATTCAGAATCATCCAAATCAAAGATTGATTCTGAATCATGATTTAGAATCACTGTAAACAAACATTAATTCTGAATCAGAATCCAGAATCATGATTATGGATCTATCTACCAAACACATTCTTAGAGTTTTAGAAGCATTGAACCATGAAAAGAGATTTCTCAGTATAAACACTCTTCAATCCTCGTTTAGACGTGATTTGATCCTAGATATTGGATTCAATGTCTTCCGGTCATCTTCCTTTGTTTTTTTTGTTTTTTGGGTTTTGTTTTAGTCATGAGGTATGGAATTTAAATAGCGGAACACAAAATTGCAGATCAATGTTCCCTTAAAAAAAGAAAAGAAGGAAAATTACAGATCAATGATTTACTCAAGTTGAACCTACAATCCCTTGGCGAAAAAATAAAAAAAAAGAAAAGAAATTTGCAAGCACTTTCCACTTCGAATTTTAATTTTAATTTCTGTCAAATAATTGAATTAAAATCTCATTATGTAAATTCTAGAAAGCCACATTTTCGTTTTTAACTTTATCATATTGTAAAAAAAAAAAAATTGAGACATAAAATTAAAAGATTCAATAGAGGCTCTCTGCACACCAAAAAGGAAAAGAACCATAACTATAATCATTTTTTTAACAAGAAAAGATATGTAAGCCTTATTTAGCATGATCCTCACCTGTCTTCCAACTTCCACTTCTTATCAAATATCAACAACTAGCCATTATTACATCAGCACCACCTAACAATATAAATATTCCTCATGTCATCATTGTAAATTATATAAGAACTCTCTCATGCCGACCCTTTTGATATTATCTCGTCAAACTCTTTTAATATGTTTTGGTCCTCTTTCTGACCTTCATTTACCATGATTTCTTTCTTTTGGCTTGCTAACGTAGAGCAGAGACATGAACCAACTACAAACAATAGAATACCGGCAAAAAATAAATAAATAAATACATACAATAGAATAATAATCTTCGGAAACCATATTTAAATTTTCCAATTAAAACACTCTGATCAAATTCCACTGCCCTCATGATTACACTACTAGCATGTTTAAACAAGTTTCATTTTTAATATTTTATACCATTTGCATTAAGAAAATCCCGTTGTGATATGCAGGCATAACCTAATGATTTATTTAAACTCATGTCTTCAGTGTTAAGGTTTAGAGTTCAAATCCACACCTCGAAATTAAAGAATAAAAGAAAAGGAAATCCCTTTTTGTTTTTTGTAGTAGAGGACTTAGAAAACATAAAGGATGACATGAACAAAGGAATTTATGTTGCAATGCATGAGATAGTAAATCTCTTATGAATAAAGGCATGGACATTCTCATTTTACCTGTTTGCAAAGTCAACTATTTTCTATTTTCAACTAAGGAAAATTTACTCCTTTTCCGTTGACGTTCGAAACTATAGTAATAGGAATGGTAACGGTAATAGAATAGAATAGAAAGAAAAGTGACGGATTTTTCTTTGATTAGAATTTTACAAATACAATAGAATGGATTTCAGATAAATTTAGTTAGACAAAATTACTCTCACTTTTAGATTACAGATTAGCAGTCCAGAGCTTGAAAGTGCATCTAAGAACCGTTTTTGTTCAGACATGGATGGACTTGTTTTAACCCAAACAAAAAACGTTAAATGAAGCACAATAATGAAGTCATTGTATAAACATAACCCCCACTTTAGAAAAAAAATTAAAAAAATTAAAAAAAAAAGTGGCGTGAAACTCTTAACTTCATCAATAGTACTTCTAGAAAGTCAGACCACACAAAAATCTGCAAAACTAGCTCCAATAAAATCCACCCGTAAGCTATGCAATCAGAAATCTTGATGGCAAGAATATAAATTAGTTAGCTTTTTACATTTCTATTGAGGTCATGAATCAATTTTGCTTTAACATTAGAAAGAAAATATATAAATGGTGACGAGGAGTTGCAGATCTGGCCAGAAGAAAAGCTAAACGCCAAGACTTTGGTAGAGATATGCCACGACATTGCTCAGGCAGCAAACCTCACTTGGGCAAGGGATAGATCCGGCGAGGTGCAACGCTCGAGCGAGGAATTTGACAGATAAAGTGAAGGTGGTGCTTGGGTGAGAAGGTACAGATCTGGCCGGGCCAGCGAGAGTTGTCAGAGGAGCAGAGGTAGGGGCGAATGTTGGCGGGAGAGGAGATGATGGGTTATGCCATTAGTCGAAAATGATGAAGTTGGAGGCTTCCAGATAAAATACACAGGGGGTAATAATGAAAAATATAGATAAATGCCAATTGAAATGGCCATTCATCTTACCCTACAAAGGAATGACAATTCCTTTAAAATGAGCAAAAAGTCATTCCAATGGAATGATTATTCTGAGAATAAAATCCAACTAAACACACAACTTGCATTCCTTTTCTTTCCTTTCCTTTCCTTTCCATTACTTTCAACCAAACGCACCCTGAAAATACAACGGGTGCGTTTGGAATTGGTTCTAAAATAATTTTATTTTCTGTATGAAAATAGAAATGAAAACGTTTTTATTTTTATTTTGGAATTATTTCTGAAATGTGTTTGGTAATTTTATTCAGAGATTGATTTCAGTTTTAAAAAAAACTGAAACTGCCTTTGGTGGTTTAATTTTTAAAAACATGTAATAATATATTAAATAAATAATATTATTAAATATATTAAATAATATTATATACATAACAGGAAGAATCCGGGGGGGCGCCTTCGTCTGCGGCATGGGGCCGTCGGCCCCGGAGACGACGAGATGTGTTCCTTCATCTCCCGCATCTCTCTCTCTCTCTTTCTCTCTCCCGCCATCCTTCATCTCCTTCAGCCGGTGTTGATGGCGGTGTTCACGTGGGCGTAGTGACGGCGGCGGCGTCTGACGAGTGACGATAGTCACCGAGCGAGAGAATCTCCGGCGACGTCTCTCTCTGTCGTCCTTCATCTCCGGCGTCCTTCATCTCCTTCAGTCGGTGTTGATGTCGGAGTGGGGGAGGGGGTGCTGTCGAGGGTGGTGGGCAGTGGAGAAGAGAGAGGAAAAAAAAAATGAAAACCGTTTTCAGAAGAAGAAAACGAAAACGAGAAAACGGTTTTTTTTTTCATTTTCAGTTTTTCACAAAAAGACAAAAATGTTTCTGTTTTTGTTTTTTGAAAAGTTTTGTGCCAAACGCGTTTTTAGATCCAATTTTCATTTTTTAGTTTCGAAAAACGTGAAAAATGAAAACGAAAACAAAAACAAACAGGCCCAACATTGACTTTCTTTTCTGCTAAAGAAGTAGGGTGTTGTTGAATGCCGAATAGTACAAACAAGGTCTTGTATTTGCTGTTTACTGTTAATTGCGGGTTTTGTGTGTAATTAGTAGATAAGAATGAGCCCGAAAATTACTATTTTTCAACGTTTTAGGGTATTGAGTTTTACCAGACAACTACATTAATATATTACAATTTACAACCTCGTAAAGCAAGATTATATATATATATATGCCAAGAAATTTTTCTTAGTTAACTCTGCTGAAGTTAAAAACAAAAAGGTTACGTGGGAAATGACCTTTTTTAGTTGTATTTTAGTTTTACGTAGGTAATTTTGTTTTCTAACATCCAATCCAACTCTAAAACACCTTATCTCCAACAGGATGTCCACTTTTGTCCCCCAACAAAAGCAAACCAAAAACAGATCTTTAACGTACCTGATGATCAAATTAAGAAACAAAATTAATTTCAGGAATAATCTAACACGCCATAAATATTCCTAAAATTAAAAAAGCCATGAAACATAATATGGTTTATCATAACAGATAGTTCGGAAATATGAGATGATCACGGAAAGGGCGTTTTACTAATTGTCAACCTTATACTCTCTTTTATTTTTTGAAATTTGAAATTTTCAAAAATAAATAAATAAATAACTCTCCCTTATCTTTCGATCTGTTTAATTAGCGAAAAGAGCTCTTTGACTTACATGTATGTATATATAAAATGGATTGAGATTAACACGTCGAGAATCCAGAGAGGATAACATGCACAATATCTTAAAATCCAAACGCAGAACATGTCCCATTCTTACTTTTTTTTTATATGAAAACTTGTCCTTTTTCTGGTTTCATGAATCTCAACTCTTCGTTTCTTTCCTTGATCCTTAACCAAAAGGAAGATAAATTACCATGTATATATATATATATATATACATACATATATATGTATGTATGTATGTATGTATGTGTGTATATACGTCCCCACATATTGTCTTGGGCTTCAACTTCATAAATTGCACCAGCCACCCACCCACCATCGCCATTACGTTCTCATCCTTTTGTCCTCCCTCTAAAACCTCATTTTTCTCTCACTTTCCCGCTTGTTTTCCGAGAAAATTGCTGGGTTTTGATTGGTTTTTGGTGGGTCTTTTCTGCTTTGGAAATTTACCATTTCCACGGGCTCTCTAGATATGGAAGTTTTGCTGTAGTACCAAGGATTCATGCAATATGCCATCACATATATATATCACCATCGAAATTTTCCTCCTTTTTCCTTGATTCATCTCATCTCGGAATCTCCTTAAAAGCTAAAAATTTCTTACGTTTTCACCCTCCTTTTTCCAAAAGAAAATCTGGTTTTTGTATTGGAGAATATTCCAATAAAATGGGAGGCTGTTGTAGTACAGATAGTCACCATGGAATTAAGAGAGGAGGGCTATTTAAAAAAAAATTTGTTGACAAAGAATATGAAGAAGATGAGGGAGATGATATGCGTTATGGAGAATCTGGGGCTCGTATTAGGCTAAAAGGCTCTTCTGGATACACATCAATGTACACGCAACAAGGCAGGAAAGGGATCAATCAAGACGCCATGACTGTTTGGGAGGTGAGAAATTCGAAACTATTACTCAATATTCTTGATTTGAAATGAAGTTTCCCATTGGATTTTTTTTTTCTTGAGCTCATGGTCGAGATGCAAACTCTAATCCTTAATATTCGAGGCAAGAATATGAATTTACCTTTAGGCTATGCCAGTAAACATGAAAAATTTCTGTTCTATATTATAGTAGGATTATGTTAGGTTGATTATTATGTATTTTTTTTTCCCCAATTTCATGATGTATATGCAATTTATTTGGTTTGTAATCCTTGAGGAATTCTGAATGTTCTTTTTTTCTCCTTTCATTCTGGATGCAAATCATGTGATTCGAGTTTCTATATGAGCTATCCAAATTTATCATGATTAGTGAATAGTGTGTGTGTATATATATATATATATATCAGATTTTTGGTTTCTCATGCCCCGTTTAGTTTGTTGATTCGAGTTTTTAATTCGAGTTGATATATAACTTTTATGTGAGAGTTTTTTACTGTAACAAAAAAGTTAGATGCGACTATTTTTGAGAGATTTTTACTGTAACAAAACTTGAATTTTAAACGTGAATCAGTGAAATGAATTGGGTTTAAGTATTTCCGTCTTGAGTTGTTTTCTATAACTGATTTCCTAATTTTTGTAGTGCCCAAAAAGAAAATTGTTGTCGTTTGCCTATTGCTCACACTAATTAATGCATTTTCCCTGTTTGCGTAAAACGTGACAGTGACCAAAACACACAAGCCACGCCATCTTAATTTGGGAAAAAAAAATACGTGACACTTTAATAGGAAAAGAAAAAAAAGATAGAGAGCATTAGAAGTGCCCACTTTAATTAAAACTCTATTGAACAAAAAATCTTACTTATGTGGTTCATTTGGGTCCCACTTTACAATGGAACTCCTATTACTGGTGGCTCTTGTGGATGGTGAGAATTTCTTTATTTCCCATGTCATTATTAGCATTAAACGCAAAATATGTTAATTTTCTTCTACGTTATATTTTATTTCGTCATCATTTTTTTTTTTTACTCTAATTTGTAACATTTATTTGACCTCGCTGGCAAATGATATTGAACGATATTCTTGAGGAAGCCTCTTCTAGCTAGGTGTCAGTTTTCTTTCATGCAATTTGCCAATTCAATGAATCCAACTAATATATTTTAGGTTATTAATTATATTACAGAACTTTACGGGTGAGAAAGATATGTTGTTTTGCGGTGTATTTGACGGTCATGGTCCCTATGGTCACAAGGTTGCACGCCATGTGCGTGACAATTTGCCCACAAAGCTTTGTAAAGCAATTCAACTGTCAAAGTTGAATAGCTGTAAGTATGGTGATGTCGGCGATGATCATAAAGACTTAACTAATAAATATGGTGAGAATAGCAGCACTAAATCTGATATTGACGACGACAAAGATGGTCAAAACGACGATAATGGTAGTTTTTGCCTTTTGTCGCTTTCTTCATCGGAAGCTTGTTTCATCAAGTCTTTCAAAGAAATGGATCAAGAGCTTAGCTTGGATTCTACCATTGATAGCTTCTGCAGTGGTTCTACCGCTGTAACTGTGGTTAAACAGGTACTCTCTTATATTCCGCAACTCTCGCGTCTCGCGTGATGCCAACTTTTTCATAAATGAAATAAGGTTAGTTTATTTTTAAGGAATGTGTAAGGTAGGGTGCGAAATGTGGACCCTTAAATTAAAAAGCAACGGTTAAAGATGACGATGCTCATAATAATTATGGTGAAAACAAGTACATTTGATAACATTCTCCTTTTTAAGTTTCATAATTACAATACTACCCCAATATTTCATAAAATTTCAATTAATTCCAATCAAATCTCAACCATAAGATCTAATGAAGTTATAGTCAAATACTAACCCTAACATCAGAAAAACTTAACCCCTTCAATCTTTGAGAACATGTAATTATTTTTGCTGTTTTTAGGCTATAATCTGATGTGCACAAGACCATGTAGTCCCTCCTTGAGATTGAATGTGATCCATTAGATTTGTACCCTAATGGTAGGGAAAAGTAAAGCCCCTAACATATAGACATTCCCTTATTTTTAACCTAAAAAGTCGCTTGTTGGTAGTAAAATGAAAATTAATGGATAAAGTTGATATCTGTTGACAGAGAGGTGTCTCTAATTTATATAATAGTTATTCCTTGGAGGAGTTAATCATAACAAATTATAATCTTGTTATAACCAATTTATTGGTGTCAATATCCACAGTATTATTAGTATAGCTATCCCGCGTTTGATAAAACAAAATTAGATTGAAATCAGAAGAAAATATTGTTTTAAGATGCAAATATAATGAATTATTGTTTTTAACTGGCAATCGTATTTTCTCCGAGTATTAATTCTCTATTAATGTGTTTTTCTTTATTGTACTGGTAGGGAGACAACTTGATAATTGCCAACTTGGGGGATTCTCGTGCTATTTTATGCACTAGAGGGGACAAGAATCAATTTGTACCCATTCAACTCACAGTTGACTTGAAACCAGATATTCCAAGTGAGTTTTTAACTTTCAACTCGTTTTCAGAGCTTCAAAATTATTCAGTCAAATTATAAAATTGACTTTTTTTTTGGCATTGATGGCTTTTTAATAATATAAATTATATAGGTGAGGCTGAGAGAATTAAGAATTGCAAAGGCAGAGTATTTTCAGCCGATGAAGAACCGGATGTGTATAGAATATGGATGCCTGATTGTGACTGCCCTGGTCTTGCTATGGCAAGAGCTTTTGGAGATTTCTGCCTCAAAGATTATGGCCTTATCTCAATTCCAGATGTTTCTTATAGAAGACTTACAAAAAATGATGAATTTCTGGTCTTGGCAACTGATGGGGTAAGAGACAAATTAACACTTCTACATTCTCCTAGGAGAACTCTTTATCTGAGTCACAACATTTCTTTTTTTAAATGTTATTTTATCGATAAATCACAACCTTTAACTGTTAAATTATTTTTTTATTCAAATTCTATTAAATTAGCGTTTAAGTTGATATGATTCTCATTTGATGAATTCGACAATTAAAAACTATGTCTGGCTATAGAATTCATTTATAATAATAATGTCTGTTATTTCTATGTCTTACTACTAGGCTATAGAATTCATTTAACAATAATTTGTTTTTTTTTTTCAATTTCAATTAAGCACAAGGACAAGAGTGTGAAAACTGTCCATTTCTTGACATTGACAAATGTGGACTTTCACATTGTGTTGACCTAGCTATGTCCCACGTCCATATTAATAGCAGAAAGTGGACAGTTATGAGACTAATGCAGTTATGGCGAGTAACAGCTTTAAGAATGTTGGAACAAAAGAGAGAAAATAGCCTAAAGAATGATCCCAAATATGTGAAACCCAAAACTGAAAATGAAAAGACTACTTGGAATTAAAACAGGGAAATTTTACACTAGGAACGAAATATTTTATTGATGAAAATTTTCTTTCAACCAACAAAATGTTTTCTTGTGGGTCTTTCAAATCACGAGATTTATACTTGTAGATACTCATAGGTAGAGACTTTCATTAAAAAACAAAAATCAATTCTGATTTATTCTAACCTTACACAAATATTTTTTTTTTAATCATATGACAACATAAAAAAATGGCGCACAAGCCATACTCATTTTCTACCATAAATGCCTTGACCTCTTAGAAAAAAGTGGCTAATATCTATTGAAGTCAACATAACTCAATGCATTCTACTTACAAAACATAGCAATTTCTTACTCCTTTGCAGGTTTGGGATGCCTTAACAAACGCCGAGGTAGTAAAGATAGTCGCCTCGGCAAAAAATCGCTCCATGGCAGCAAAACTGCTTGTAAACCGTGCAGTCCACGCATGGAAAGACAAGTATCCCGGTTGCAAGGTCGACGACTGCGCTGTGGTGTGCTTGTTCTTCAAGGACGACCCAACTTTGCTAGTCAAATCGAGCTCGATGGTAACCCGCCGGAGCAGCATCATAAACGCCTCCGAGTTTTCACTTTCTCGTAGGTTTAAGTCCTTCAGAAGTGTGGGAGCTAATAGATATTTCGAAGGAGATAGTGTCATTGTTGGAGTTGGATCAAAAGATCAGGAATATTGGACTGATTTACAAGGAGTTAGTCGAGTGAACTCCATAGTGAAGCTTCCTCGGTTCTTGAGTTTTCGGAAATCAACTAGTAATTTAGAGGAGGTTGATGCTCATTAGCATAAAATAATGTATTATCTTTGCCTTTTGTGAGATCACAGGGAAACTACAGTGTTAAAAGAATTGTGCAATTTCTTATTGATGATAAATGTCATGTAAAAGGCAAAAATTAACAAAAGAACTCCTTATGTTAAGATTTTTAACATAAATAAGATGTATCAAATAAATAATGAGTGTTGTTTGAATAATTTAGTAAGCAATTACTCTGTTAGCTCCTTGTCATATAGACATGAAAATGTAATTACGCATTAAGAGTTATCATTATTTTTTACTATATCTTATTTTCTCCTTAATTTGCTTGACCAAAAGACTTTTTGGAGTTCATAAATGGCAGTCAACAGTAATAATCGAAGTAAAATTTAATAAATGGGGAAGTCTTGTAAGAATTACTGAAGTTCAAGAAAAAAAAAGTTAAAATTAAAATTCAGGACATTTTACGGCCTATAATTCGAGGGACAGCCACCAAAGGAAACCAATGGTTGAAACTTTCAAAAGTATCCATGTTGTAAGGAGGATACATGTCGTTTTTTGAATATCAAACTTGCTATGAAAAGTGGTTGAGTTTTATGTCAACGACTTTTAAAATCTTTTATCAAATACACTGCTTCTGACATTTGCTTCAAAATATCTCGATACTTGCCCAACCAAAGGAAACCAATGGCTGAGACCTGAGACTTTCAAATTCATATACTTGGAAGCAACTTTCAGAAGCAGTCTATTTGACAAATGGTTATAAAGTGGTTGACACAAAACTCAACCACTTCATAGCAAGTAGAAATTTCCTATCTTGGAACTTCTATAGTAAGGACTTAAAAAAAGAAAAGGAAAAAAAAAAATCAATTGAAACTGCTATTTTAACATTTGAATTTAGTTTCCAACAGTCTACTTTTTGAGTGTCCACGTTAAAAATTTGTAGCGAGCAAAACTAAACTGATCTATTCACAAATCGTGCCTTTAAAAACTTAATTCAATAGTTAAAATAATAATTTTTACTGGTAGTTAAAAAAGACAGAACATGCCGTAAAAATTTCCTATTTATTTATTTTAACAAAGTAACAATGCAAATTAAACTAGTAAAAATGTAACACATCCATGCCAAACTAAAACTTTTTAATTGAAAAATGATGATAAGTACTTATAACGACAATATTATTGGCCTCTTTCGGCAAGAGATTTCAAACTCACAACTTCTCAGTCATTTCCTTTCGTCAACTCAACATGAATATGAACTCTTCCAACACCAAAGCCAAAAAAAAAAAAAAAACAAAATCAACAGTAAAAAGAATGCAAGAATAAATTAGAGTCCATCATAAAATCACTAGGCAAAGATGATAGGAGAAAATCTCGAAGCAATTAGTCAATAAAACCATTTGGAATATGCACAAAAATCAGCATTTGGGAAGATCAGCAGGTGGAGGAAGCAACTTTTGATTAGGCAACTTTCCATCTAAGACTAGCCAACCCATCTTCAATCCCCGACTTGTGTGAATCTCCAAGTGACAATGCAGGAACCAAACACCTATATATTGTCAAACATCAAAATTTGAAGAGATCAACAATAATTTCACACTTTGTCAGGTAAAGTTCTTAGTTGGAATTAACTTATTTAAATGTGATAGTTAAATTTATTTCTACCACAAATTTAACTCACCTGGATTATCTGCCAAAAACCTTTCAGGATCCTAATTTGGATCAAAATTCCCAAATCCTTGGCCTACAACAAAGAAATTAAACCATGCAAATGGAGGGGATGGCTTTCTACACCAAGAATGCTAGTATCTTGCATGACCAACTCCACAACAACAAATACAAGCTTTAATCCCACACTTGTGTTAAATGGAAGAACAACAACCTTTGTTCCATTGCCCACCATTGTATTGTTGGGTGGGGTCCCTATGTAATTAAATGGAAATATGGGACTGGTTGGGAAATCAGGAGTGTAAACCCCATTTGATTGTCCAAATAAGTGGGCTTGAGGAGGGCAGTATTGCTTGGGAGGGAAAAAGAAACATTGTTAATTGAAGCAGCAAACATTGTTCCATTAGGACCCTGGCAGGTCTTGTTATGTTGGCATGTGCTTGTTCCAAGGCCAATTGTGAAGAAAAACCGTTGGTCGACCTTTCGAGGTACATTGGCAGGGAACCAAGCAGTGGCTAAGCTGCGGAGTTTATTGGTGAATTTCGTTGCAAATGAAGTGTCATTGAGAGCCGGTAAGATTGGTTTAAAGAGTTGAAGTTTGATTGGTGAGATTGTGGAATGATGAGGAGTTTTGGATGGAGATTCATACTCTAGAATACCGGCCACAGTGGAGTTGTCAAAGGTGCCAAGACCAGTTACATATGGTCTAGCGGTCATGAAAAATGTGGCATTTGGGAAATGCGGTTTGGTCTTCAAAAGAGCATTTGTTGTCTTTCTAGGAGCTATGAGGATGATATTTGTGTCAAAAGGCTTGACATAAACAGCATCCGCTTCAACCACTCATAGCTCCTAGAAAGACAACAAATGCTCATAGCTCCTAGAAAAACAAATATCATCAAAGAGCATTTGTTGTCTTTCTAGGAGCTCTTTTTTAGCATTGCAAACCACACTCTTTAGTGCTGCATTGATTAGGCGGAGAAGTTAAAAAGAGTGGTTTGCAATGCTAAAAAAGAGCTCATCATTTAGGAGACGTTTGGTTCATGGATTAGAATTATAAGATTAGAATCATTTTTGATTTACGTGTTTTTTTGTGAGAAAAAACACTGTAACGAACCATGAACCATGATTCGAATCGGGGTACGAATCTCCTAACCAAACAACCCCTTAGTGCTGCATTGATTAGGCGGAGAAGTTAAGTCTTCCCTGGCTTCACCTTTAGTTTTTTAGTTTTGGAATTAATTATCTAACGAAAAAGTCAACATATTAACAAATCAGCAAGCAAATGTAAAAAATTGTCATATGTTATACTTAGTACTAAATTTAATACTATTTGTGAGATTACCCATAGTATTTAATACACTACCTTTGGCAGAGCAGTTATACAATGGACCTGGGAGCCCATTAATAGTATAGGCATCTGAGACATTTGGGCCTCCACCAGTTTGTAATGCCTGGCTAATCACTGCCTCAGGATCTGCATTCCACCGCTCTCCTGCATATTCATACATCTTGCATTTTATTAGCAAATGAATTATAACAGTGGAAAGAACACTAGAGAACTATATTTTATTTTTCTTTAAGCTTTTGATATTTATTTACCAAAGATTATGGGAACTTGTTTGTGAGGTTTAGTAAATGGGTAAGGAACGCCATGCTTAGGAAAAATGATTATTGGACCATAGACAGTAGATCTTAGCCATGATATGTGTGCATACCAAAAAAGGGTTCCTCTCTGTCCCACAATGGTGTAATTGTATACATAGCTTTGTCATGTTTGAATGGGACATTGGGTCACATATGCTGGCCCATCAGCCCACCCTGTTTGAAGCTGCCTAATGCCATGCCTGTTTAAAAATTAAAATAAAATAAAATAAACCATTAGATATTCAAGTAATTAATTGCTGTTTTAAACTAAAATAGTTTCATGAATACTTTTCTTATTTGGATATTTTTCATCATTTTATAGTTCTAAGAAAAAAATTTTAAGAATAACACTAATTTTGATTATTTTCTTATTGCAGTCTGCAACAATATATGGCAATTACGTGAGAAGAGAAAAAAATATTATAACAAGTCATTATAAAACATATTTTGTATTACTGCTATAAAAAAAATAAACTTTCTATTTACCAATGTATAGAAATGTTGTTCTGGACATGATTAACCACTTTGATGACGAGGCGGTCACCCTCCCTTGCAACAATGCGTGGCCAGGGAAACTGGCCGTTTACAGTTACTATGCTCTTAGTGTGGCAAAGTCTTGTCACATTTTGCAATTTGATCTGCAAATAATATTCAAAGTTGTTAACTAATTAGACGAACAAGAAAATGAATAAGAAAAAAATAAGAAAAGAATTCATATTTGCTATAAAGTAAGCTTAATTTCACAATGTATTAGACATACATCAAATTTATAACTTTAGTGCCTAGTTATGCCTGCAAATACATGTTCAGCAATAACAGACAACGTTGTGAAATACAAGATTAGGTTCCAATATTTTACACGTCCTCATCCTTCATATATGAGAATTTCACTAATTAGGCATTAGTTATTTTAAATAATAAGGTTGAAGTCAGAAAACAAATTAAAACACTCAGTTTCTCCTTCTTACTCATAGTTATTACTTAACCTCTATTTAAGCCTAACTATATTTGTTTATTCTCTAATATTTTACCCGCACCCATCCTTCGTATGTGACCATTTCACTAATTAGGCCCCATTTACTCTTAATAATAAGGATGAAACTAGAATACAAGTTAAAACGCTCGGTTTCTCTATCTTTAGCCATGGTTATTGCTTAACTTCTACTTAAACCTGGCCATATTTTCTTATTCTCGAATATTTTACGCCCCTTCCTTCGTATGTGAGAATCTCACTAATCAGGTCTCATTCACTTTAAATAATAAGGTTGAAGTGAGAAAATGAGTTAAAATACTCAGTTTCTCCATATTTGCCTACGGTTATTATTTAACCTCTAGTTAAGTTAAGTCATATTTATTTATTCTCTTAGGGCGTGTTTAGTTGGGGGGAACGGAATGGAATGGAAAGACCATTCCCCCCAATTCTTTTGTTTGGTTTCAGTTTCGTAGTTGGAATGGGCTTTCCAACGGAAAGCCCATTCACTCAATTTTAGTGAATGGGCATTCACTCGGGTGGGTGGTGGAATTACATTTCCATTCAGCCCATTTTTTCAATTTCTCCGTATTGTCCCCGAGGCTCAAGCGAGAAGAGACAAACCCTAGGGCTCCCATCGCCGTCGCGACCATCCAAGCTCCGATCGCCGTCGCGAGCACCCGAGCTCCCATCGCCGTCGCGACCCGAGCCGTTCTTCCGCCGATCGAGTCTCGCCTTCTCCCTTCCTTTTCGGCCTTCCTCCACTCTGTTTGGCTCGTTCGTTTTCGTTTCAATCTCGTCCTCGGATTTCGATTTCCTTAGATCCGGTTGTAGCTTCACCGGCGCCTCTATTTCCAGCAAGGTCAGGTCGCGGTTGATTCCGGCAAGGTCAGTCTCCATTCTTTGATCTCGGTTGAATTTTTTTCATTTTTTTCGAGTGTTTTTCGTATGGATTTGTTTCTTGGATTTATTGCTTTGCTGGTACAAAATCCGTGTGATGATCGATCCTCACAGATGCTTTGCTTTGCTTTGCTTGGCTCATTCAATCTGTTTTTTGTTGAACTTAAATGTGCTCATTGGATCTGTTTGGTTGGCTCGTTCGTTTTCGTTTCAGTCTCGGCCGCAGTTGATTCAGGCAAGGTCAACTCGCGGTTGATTCCAGCAAGGTCAGGTCACGGTTGATTCCGGCAAGGTCAGGCTCCATTCTTTGATCTCGGTTGAATTTTTTTTCGTTTTTTTTCGAGTGTTTTTCGTATGGATTTGTTTCTTGGATTTATTGCTTTGCTCAATGGAAAACCGTGTGATGATTTTGAGGGTTTGAAGTTTGAAACTTGTATTTCCTTCGAACAAGTGTAGAATGCTGAGGGCCGTGAGAAATTTTGTGTACCCATTTGTGATTTTGGCTGTGATTCTGTCATTTGTGATTTTAGCTGTGATTCTGTCATTTGTGATTTTGGCTGTGTTCAAACTTTTATTTCAAAAATTCTTCCTCCCCCTGCTAGGCATTCAAATATTGCACATCCTGATCACCTATATCTCACACAGAATTCACCTGAACCTTCAAACATCTTATACATTAAATCCCACCCCACTCAAACACATAAAAAAGAGTTACAAGACTTTGTTCTGATAGGTTAGCATTGAAATGGAGAATTAAGAAAGAGAGCAACTACCTGATCTTCAACCTTCATATGCTTTGAGAATAGCTTCACTGCAGGGCATTCTTTAGTCAATGATTGTAAACCCCTAGATAAAATTGGGAAAAAAATCATTTCTTATCAATAATGGCCAGAAGAGACGACACATTCTTATTGGTAGGAATACGAATGTACGAGCACCAGAAAACGAAAATATATAACTTGTCGAAAATGCACTCACCTTAGAAGTTCTATTGATCTCATAGCAGATGAACTAATAATAAGGATTGCAGGACAACCCAGATCAACTTTTCCTTCCAACATCTGCTTCTCACAAAGAACTTCTTTCCATGATGGGCCAAAAGAGACTTTCATATCTTTTCCCAAGGACTTTGCGTCCTCATATGTGCGTTGAGATAGCTCCAAAATGCACGTATCTGCACAATTTACAAATCACAAGCATAATTATATAAGTCTATCACACAGTACATAAAAATAAAATAAAATAAAATAAAAACAAGGATTCAGTATGAGGTTAGACCAACTTACATAGCCCGATGACATACAGAACAAGCGTGGATTGAGAATATCCTAAGAGTGACATTAGCTTATCTGAAACCCATGTTTTCAGATTTCCGTCACTTGCAATATTCACTGCCAAAAAAAAAGTTGAGGTTATTCCATTTGTATACTTTCTTAACTTTGGAAATGGTGTCAACCTCCGTTGAAGTGTGTCATCCTTTTGGTTCTTTCATTGTTTGACTAGTGCATACTTTTATGCTCAACTTTTTAGATAACGGAGTTGAAATGTACTAGTTTGGTTGTTTTATTGTAGGATAATGACTCGCTTAGGATTAGTCAAAAGTGAAATTTTGAGAAAGAGGAAGATAGTTGCTTTGCTTTTACATTGGTTGAATATTATGCAAGTAGTGCAAGGGTTCTTTCAATTGATGGAAAGAGCGGTGATGGAGGATATAGAATCAAACTTTGTACGGAGACAACTTTATGTGCTTGACGTGTTTGTTCATAGGCAATATGTTCATCAACTAGCTTATGCAAGTGATGTCATATGCAGAGATCAATTAAGGATGAATAGAAATGCCTTCACTAATTTGTGCACATTGTTAGAAACTAGGGGTGGGTTGAAAGCGTCTAAGTATTTGCAAGTAGATGAGCAAGTGGCTATGTTTTTACATGCCATTGCTCACCGTGAGAAAAATAGAGTTATAAAATTCCATTTTATGAGATCTGGACAAACGGTTAGTAAGTACTTTCACAATGTCTTGCATTCAATCATTCGACTTCATGGAGTGTTATTCGTTAGACCTGAGCCGGTTGTAGATAACTCAACTGATGAGAGGTGGAAATGGTTTAAGGTACGTACCTATTTATGTGTTATGTTTAAAATGGGCAGGACCCATGGTGTAATTAGTAGTTATATCTTTTATTTATTAGAGAATTGCCTAGGTGCACTAGATGGAACCTATATTAGGGTGAGAGTGCCTATGATAGAGAGACCCAAATACCGTAATCGACATGGAGCTGTAGCAACAAACGTCTTAGGAGTATGCACACGAGATATGGAATTTATATATGTGTTGCCTGGATGGGAAGGATCTGCAGCTGATGGTAGAGTATTATGCGATGCTCTACGTACGGCAAATGGTTTACGTGTTCCAAATGGTAAGTTTGTTTGTTACTAGTAAAGTAGTTTACTCGTTCTTTGTTACATCGTTCGTTGTTACATTTACAAAATGTTAAATCTATATTTATCAATTCTTTTAACAGGATCTTACTATCTTGTTGGTGCTAGATACACCAAGATATGTTTAGCTTTCAGAGGAATGGACTAAGTGGAGAAATACTTATGTTTAATGATTGGAGGCATCCTAGGAATGCATGACAATTGTATTTGTATTTTTCCTTGAGAGTTGGAACATGACGTGTGTTGTTTGCTTGTATTAGGACAAACTTATGTTAATTTTTTTCCTCGAATAATATGTGCCTCTTTGTTATGTTTTTGTTTATAGTATTTGCAAGTTACTAATTATATGTCAATGTTGATTCTTGATTGTATGCATGTTTGTTCTTTGTTATTGTTAGGATGGACACTTCCAAATCCAGAGGTCCAGGTCAAAATAAAAGGTTTTGGAATGAAGATGAGGATAAATTCTGAATTGAAGCTTTAATGGAGTTACATAACGAGGGAACATATAAAGCGGAAGGTAATTTCAAGGCTGGACATCTGCAAGCTCTTGAGAGAAAGTTACATAACAAGTTGCTAGGATGTGACTTACTAGCTAGGCCACATATAGAGTCAATGATGAAAACTTTGAAGACTCATTTTTAAATTGTTCATGAAATGTTAACCGGGTCTAACTATAGCGGTTTCGGATTGGATCCAGACAGGAAAACGGTTACTGCTGAGAAGCCGATGTGGGAAGTATATCTCAATGTACTTATAATTATAATTCAGTAATATGGTTGATAGTAATAGAAGTTGTTCATCTATTTACATTGTTTTTTGTATTAAATTCAGAGTCATAAGGAAGAATTACCGTTTAAGACCAAAGCTTTTCCCTACTATGATGACTTGTGTATGGTTTTCGGCAAAGATCGTGCAACTGATAGGGGTGCCGAGGCAGCTGCTGATGTAATTGAGGAACTTAAAAAAGAAGCAGCTGACGACATTAATATTGACGATGACTGTTTCAATGACATTCACAATACTACTTATGTTGATGAAGCGCAATCAATGTCTTTCTCACAAGCATCGGCTATTTCTCAAACTCAAGCCCAATTTCAAGGGTCGTCTAAAAGAAAAATGAAGAGTACAAACAATGCAGAGGCTTATGAAGCCATTGAAATCATCTAGTTTACTTGCTAGTGTTATGGAGAAGGCAAGTGAACGTTTAAGTCGGGCTATCGATGAAGACATGATGGAAAAACATAGCCGGATTAGGGATGAACTACAAAGGACCACAACCATTAACGCAATGGAACGACATAAGGTAGCTCGGACGATGATAAAGGATGATGCTTTAGTTTCTTACTTTTTTAGTATCACTGATGATGAAAAAGATGAGTGGGCTAGAGCTTTGCTTGCTAGTAATATTTAGGAGTGTTTGTTTAGTTTCAGTGGAAAAACATAACTGGATTATCTTTTGATATAGTGGTGTATGTGCTATGCATTTCTCTTTTGATATAGTGGTGCATGTGCTGTGCACTTTTCTGTTGATATTGTAACTAATTAGGATTATGTTTCACTTTATTAAATTGTATTAATTAGGAACTTGCTTCATTGACATATGACTATATTTTGGGATTATATATTTGAATGATATATTGTCATTTTTATTGTTGACAGGGGCCAAAGTTATATTTTTCAGGGAACATATCATGGTAGATGTCAAAAGTTATCATATTTGAGCTTGTGATAATTTATTATTACATAAAAATATCAAATATTATTTTTTTTACAATTGAAATATAGTTTTTAAATTATTATCCTTCAAATAAAAAGTTTTTTTTAATAATTAAATTATTTTTTTATTATTTTAATTAATTAAAATATTAAATTATTTAGGATTATTAATCAATGGTATTTTTATCAAAATACAGTTTATTTTCATTCCATTCTGTTGTCAATCAAACAGCATAATCCTCATTCAGGTATTGATTCCATAACTCCAATTAAACAAAAGAATCAGTTTGGCCTCGTTCACTTCGTGGATTCGAGTTTTCAATTCGAGTTGAGATGTGACATTTTCTAAGAGCTTTTCACTGTAGCAGAAAAAGTTAGATGTGACATTTTTTGAGAGTTTTTTACTGTAAAAATTTAAAACTGAAAACTCGAATCAGTAAAATGAACAAGGCTTTTATGATTCTAGCACATTCCAATTCCATTCCATTATCATTCCCATTACCATTCCTATTATCATTCCGTCATTGTAACCAAACGCACATATTTTGCACGGCCTCGTCCTTCATATGTGAGAATCTCACTAATTAGGTTACATTAACTTTGAATAATAAGGTTGAAGCAAAAAAAACATGTTTAAACACTCAGTTTTTCCATCTTTGGCCAAAGTTATTATTTAACCTCTAGTTAAGTCAAGTCATATTTGTTTATTCTCTAATATTTTACCTGCCCCAGTCCTTCATATGTAAGAAACTCACTAAATAGGCCACATTCACTTTAAATAATAAGATTGAAGCTAGAAGACAAGTTAAAACACACTACGACAAATATCATTATCAGTAGCTAACCAAAAACGCTATTAAGCACTACCAATAGTATTTTGTGGAGCGCTAGGACATTAAACACTATTAAAAGTCTTACGAAAACATAGCGTTCTAAGAACGATATGAAAAACGCTATAGAATTGAGGTCTTATAGTGTTTAAGTCAAGTTATTTTCAACCTCTTATAGCTATTTGGCATTGCTACGGTACATATCAATAGTTTTTTCCCTTGTTATGTTCATATTCTTATGGCTTTTTAAAATTATTATTAAATATTTTACCAATAGTAAAAGTTTTTTATTATGTTAATATTCTTTTAAATTCATTAAAATAGATAGTGATTCCGAGCAACATCTTACATCCAAATCCAAAGAGGAACATTCAAATTAAAACATAAGAACATTCAATGTAATAATTGTTATCAGTGTCTACAAAGTTGGCAATAAGATATTTACAACACAAGTCACACCATTTGTCCACAACTTTAACATTAAAACAAGTCAAGAATATAGAGAAATAACTAAATATATCAAAGTATCCAAAATGTCTAGCCAAATGAAATGGTTAAGTAAATAACCCATCTTGACAAAATGCTCCAACAAAAAGGCCATCTCCTCCAACAAAGCAACTATTGACCTATCAAAAAATTAGTCCAATTAATTAATTAAAACATATAAATTGATTAACTAATAAAGCACACAAAGAAAAAACCAGATAAACCATACAACTGAACAACATAACAAATTTCACTATAAAGGCAGAAACTTGTGAGCAAGGGCACTTGAGTTTCTCAGAGTAGGTCACTTTTTCAGTAATTGACATATAATCATGAGAGTCAGAGATAAAAGAATACTAACCTTTGAGAAACTACACTAAAATTTTTGAGAAACTATATCAAAAGAACAAGCTATAGGAAACCAACCTATAACATGAAATATAACAACATGAAAATCGTATGCCAAAAGTCCTTCTCTAAGCTCATTCTAAGAACAGCATAAAGAAATGACAGAACATGTTATACACAAGCACTAGAAACGCTAGAGTTATATCAGCTTGATAACACTACACACAGACATGATAATTAACACAAAGTAGAAGGTAATGGTAGAGTAGCACATTTTATACAGTTGAAGTGCCTTGGATACCATAGTTTTCCATATTATCACTATTAAGGACATATCGGTTTAGCAACAAGTTCTCAGCAAAATAAAATTCTACAATGACCATCTATGGATTATAGTCCATGGCAGAATACAAAATGGGTAAGCAGGAAAAGAATAGTCAGTTGATGCATGAGTATTCTATAATATTACCTCCATAACTCGGGGACTGAACAGCAATTCTCTCATTTCTGGATTTAAACTCTGCTCAAGAAATTTTATGATTGAGCTGGATAAAATTGTAATAGCAGACATAAATTAGTTCCTTTTAGCAAACAAATTACTATACAGTATCTACGTACTTTGGCTACAGAAAATGACAAGGAAAAAAAATCAAAATGCATAGCATTTTTTTTTAAAAAAAAAGTTTAGCACGTGGGTATAAACAAAAACGTGATGTGACACAATGAGACCTGCATGCAGACTTCTTGTACAACATGGATTTTGTAAAACAGTGACATGTGGAGATGGACAAGTAAATGACTAAAATATTGCAAAGTCCAGCAAGAGGTTAGAAATTTGGATAATCTGACGTTTGAACACTCTTCAAAAGCTTATTATTACTTTTCCATTACAAAGGTCGAGTTAATAGGATGTAGGCAAGCTCTAATTTCCTACATAGAATGAATTATCTAGTCTGCTGATAGAGAAACAATATAATAACGAGATGCTTCTCTGCCTCCAAAATATCAGAAAACGGGGTTTGTATGACGTTCAGAACCTGAAAATGCAAGGTGAAAAAAAATACATTTAAAATAAATGCATACACAGATTGTCTTTTTATGACATGTTCTAAATACAATTGTAAGGTTGTTGATTGTTAGATTGTTACTGACGTTGGGCAGTTGTGTGCAAACTAACAACCAATGTGAAGAGAAGACAGGAAAGTACAGCACAATAAAGCATATAGTAACTGTCAAGAATCTTCGAATGTACATCAGCAATATGAATTGGACTTAAAAAACAAGAAAAATATTTTATCATAGAACAAAATATTAACCAGTTACCAATGGTGTTTCTCCCTACCCTTCATCAGCAATTACATGGCCAGTGATGAGTAATAATGAGTACAGCTCTTCCAGACATTCAGTGTGATCAACGACGCCCCTGCCCTATGAACAAGTAAAATAACTTCAGAAATGAGCAACTGAAGCAGAGAATGTACTTCGTGGATTATTGTGTTTCTCCATAAAGAAAACAGAACACAGGTCATGTCAAAAAAACACGAAAGCGTCGATGAAGCAGAGATGCTAACTTAAAAGGGAAAAATGCGTAAGCATTGATTGCAAAGCAAAGCACAATTAAGAACGCAAGCCCCTTAATTAGTTTCCTCAGTTCTGACAAGATACTTAGTGTCATACAAGAAACTTATAATTGAGAAAAATCAGGAGGCAAAAGAACACCTGAGCAATCCAAGCAAAGCCCTTAGCAAACACCTCAGTGAGAAAAAGATTGTCACCTCACTTGCTGCTCTCGCAGAGCTCAACCTTTCATCCATGGTTGCCATTATCAAACAACAAAAACTTAAAAGACTATTGAAAGTCATACGGCAAATCTAAATTCTTACCGCCATTAAACTAGTTAATTTTTTTAGCTAATTCAATTAATGAGCCATATGTAAGTTCTTGTAGTATTCTGGCATACCAGAAATGGAAGCCTGAAGGTAGCTCGAGTCGACATCGTCGTTAAATGCAGATGCAGAAGCAGCTACGCCACAAAGGACCAACTGTTATTGGATGATAATACAAGAAAACAAACAAGTGTGATTGCTGAACCAGAGCAGAAGCGAAGGTGACATATCAAAAAAGTTACGTCTTAGCTCAGACTCCACAATTAAGGCAAAGAGATTTGTTGCGACACTTCTTCCTTCAGGTGGAAGCAACGCATTCCACTATTCCTATTCACTGGCTGAAAGAAGATGGCAGAAATTTTTAAATTTTTTTGATTGGTTTGGAAAGGATATACATAAACGACAGTGATATTGCTACAAACTAGAACAAGGGCTTCAACAATTCAAGCATAAGTTTTCACTATTGCCCTTCAAGATCGATAAGATACAATAAAAAAGTGGGTTGCGGTGTTGCCTTATTCTTCTATTTATAAAAGGAAAGATGTGAAGAGAAAATAAATACCACGAGAAGGGTAGTCCACGTATCTAGTAGAATATCACGCGCCTCCCAGCTCCATGTCTCTTCTTCAGAGTTATTATTCATGAGGTTCTTAATAACTTCGCTCATCATGGTTGATAACAGGGTAAGGGTACCAACGGGCCTAAATAGGAAATTAAAAAAAAAAAAACATCAAACCATGGCTGAGAGACCAAACGTCCAAACAAACTTACAGAACAAAAACCAAAGAAACAGAACTTACCTTCGTGAAGGTTGAGTATATCACCAAAGCAATAACAAATCTGTCAAAAACAAAAATTTTATGACCTAGAGATTGTGGGTTTTCTTCTACAACTAGGGAATTTCAAAGAAAAACGAAAATCTTCACTACAGATTTGATGAAACCAAAATAAACGAACCAAAACTAGAGAAGAATGGACGATTTAAGAAGAAAGAAGCCCAATTACAGATCAAGGCATACCTTGGAATCTTCTATGAAGCCCAAACTTGTACTGAGTTCGACGCAGATCAGAACGACCCAATCTTCACAAAATCAAAAACCAAAACTTTTAATGAGCTGATCGAGTGACGCGCACAGAGAGGGAAGATTTCTTCCCATGAGATTTTTTTTTTACCTGCTAAGAGGATCTTCGACTGATCAGTGGGGAAGCTAACAGCAGCATTAAATTTGAAAATCTAACAGAGCAAATCAAAAAGAAGGAATGGAGCGGGCAATTTGGGAATTTGGGGGGAATAGCAGATCGAGGTTTTTTTTCCTTGACCGACAAATGCCTCTTCCACAGAGTGGGGAAGCTTTTGTTCGTATAGGAATTTCAGTAGCAAGCAGAGCCAGAAGGAATGGAGCGGGCAATTTGGGAATTTGGGGGGAATAGCAGATCGAGGTTTTTTTTCCTTGACCGACAAATGCCTCTTCCACAGAGTGGGGAAGCTTTTGTTCGTATAGGAATTTCAGTAGCAAGCAGAGCCAAAAAAAAAAAAGGAGAATGGAGCGAGCGGGAATTTGAGAATATATATATATATATATATATAATATATTTATATATATTAAAATTTCATCAAATTTTAGGTGGGTTTATTTTATATATATATATATATATATGCAAAATAACGTTTTTTAAAAACGCTATGGTTATTATTTAACCTCTAGTTATGTTAAACCATATTTGTTTATTTTCTAATATTTTGTGCATCCTCGTCCTTCGTATGTGAGAATCTCACTAGTTAAGCCTAATTCACTTTAAATAATAAAGGTGAAGCGAGAAAACAAGTTAAAACACTCAGTTTATCCATCTCTAACCATGGTTATTATTTGGTTCACTCGGTTTCTCGTTTTAAGGCCCCGTTCATTTCACCGATTCGAGTTTTCAATTTTAGGTTTTTATAGTAAAAAGCTCTCAGAAAATGTCACATCTAAATTTTTCTGCTACAGTGAAAAGCTCTCTGAAAATGTCACATCTCAGCTCGAATTGAAAACTCGAATCCGCGAAGTGAACGAAACCTGTTGTCTGAGATTCAGTCTCACATTTTGCTTACTTCTTCATTTTAATGATTTTAACACACTATTGGCCGTAAGTACCCCTACCATAGAAAGCTTCCAAAACAAAATAGTTTCCTTTTTGTTGTTGTTATTCCTCCAAAACCCTAGTTCTCACTATTTTATCGTTAGTCATAGAAAATTAAAGGAATAAATAACTACAGACACAATTGTGAACCTATACGATTTAAGAAACCTTTTAACTACTATTAAGAATTAGTATTTTAATCGTTAATTGAGTTTTTAACTATCTGATCTATAAGTACACACGTTAAGAAATCAACATAAAACTACTCTAATCATAGAGCGAACTGTTAAAAACTTATTCCAATAATTAAAATAATAATTCTATCTATAATTAAAAAAGACAGATCCTATCATAAAATTCTCGTAAGATTTTACCTTAGATAATATTTGATCAATTTTCAGCGAGAAGCATAAATTTCCGACCTTTATTTTATTTTATTTTTTTTGGACGTTTGACATAAATATGATATTGTATATAGATTCATGCTTTCGTGTGTGGTGTATGTCGAGTGTTTAGGTGGGCAATGCGTGAGATAATAATGTACGACAACTTTGGGGCTAAATCTTACGAGGCATTATTTGCCTTTTTAGTTTATATATAATAACTTATTATCTATCAAAGTGAGTGGTGCATATGAGTAACCCCCATAACACAAACTCTCTTTCAATTATTCATAATTGTGATTTTAAAAACGTGACGTGTTTCTCTCATGGCCATGAAAATGGTCCGTACTCCCATGGACTTGTCTACACGCCCTAATGGTTATTGGGCCTTCTTGATTGTTTATTAAGAAAATACGACGAATGACATTTTTAAGACATACAGATGAAGTAAATAGTTGGCCAGTTTGTTACCGTTTTCAATCTCATTTTTCATATTTTTTGAAACAAAAAATTGAAAACGCGTTTGGCGAAAATTTTTTTAAAAAACAAAAAAAAAAAAAAAAAAAAAAAAACTTT